ATATACTAAAAAGGTAACCATTAACAGAGTTCCAAAGTTGTCCCAAAAAGAAAAAAAAGAAAAGAAAAGGAGTTTCCAAAGAAAAATAGAAAAATAGAACCAGATGGAAATTAGCATTGACGGGCCGGCACGGGCAGACCCATCGACCCAACCCAGGGTTTCACAGGGCAGTTTTCATTCTCCTTCACCATTTCCTCCTTTTATTTCTTCGGTTTTTTTTTTTTTTAAATTTCAATTTGATTTAAATACTATTTTGGTGGCTTACTAATTTGCAATTGATTAAGACATATATTCCCGTAGATTCGAATCCAAATCATCTTATGTTGTATTAAAAAGTATGTACTTTTGACTTTGGTTAACTTTTGTGAATTTACTTTYAAAATATTCATTTTAATCTTTATATTTTCAATTTTTATTCATTTTAATGTTTTAAATTRTTGTCMGTTCAAAGAAGTTCATGAAAAAAGTAAATCAACCTAAGTTGGGAAGTTCAATATTAATAACTCTTTCTACCCATATTGGGTACTATTCAATCAAGATTCTTRAGTGTTGTTGTCTTCTTGCATGAATCGATATAAAGTATTAGCAACTTCATTCATCTTGCGTACCGTAAGAGTGATTCYTTCTACCCCATTTCTGTATTTTTTTCTTATATCATCTATTATCAATGCCATTATCAAATCTATATTCTCTATTAATAAATTTTCACACCATTTTAGAATSGATTTCTGCCKAAAGAGGTYGGATTCCAACCTAGGTTGCAACAGTTATTCCCTCCTTTGGAGTCATTGCTTCCACAAGCTCATCATGCATTCTAAGATTTATAGCTCTTTCAGCCGCCAGTATTTGTCCGTTTGCGCCATGAAAGATTATCCAAAAACCTGCACTTCCATCTRGTAGCACTGCATCTGAGTTTAGCTTGTATTGTAATTTGATAAATCGGGAGGCACCCACTTTTTTGAACCTAAAGTATGCTCCAATGTCCTACAGATTGTTGGGTTGGAACTATAATTCTGCAGTATTTAGCTTTCCATTCTTCATCATAGTTAATGGTATGTTCCATAAGCTCATCAATCAAACTCTAGTGTTTATTGAAGACTAAATTATTCTGTTTATTCCACATAGCCCATAAAGTGATGATAAAAGACTTCTAGCTCATCCTGGCTCAGCTCCTCAATTGTCCTATAAAATAAAGAGGTATAAAATAAAGAGGTAAAGTCAATGTAAGTATTTTGTAATAACTGGGTAGCTGCACTTCATTGAGTCTGATATCTTTTAGCCTATTTACATCTCAAAACATGTTTTGGCTACTGTAATTTAAAAAAGTGACCGATTGGTTCATATTTACAAAATTTTCACAAATTTTATACGCTGAAGAAACTTTTTAATAGAAATTTATGGCTACATTTCAAAAAATTTGGTAAGTGAAATGTCATGCTAAAGCTAAAATCAAAATAAATAAGATAACATTGGAAATGAAGCGCTCCTGCCATTGGTAACGTTTCTGTTTTTTATTTTTAATACACTTATGACTTTAGGAATCAAATAATATTTATATTTATGTTATGTAATAAATTGGAAATGGAAATAAGAAGTAAAAAACTTGTTTTGATTGTTTCCTAAATTTCTAATAATTTTGAAAATGTTAAAAAAAAGAGAAACAAGTAACCTAATGAGTTGCAAAAATGCAGATTTATAAAAAGTAAGAATTTATAAATTTATAAAAAGTAAAACAAAATGTTTTAGCTCAACCGTTGAGTGAGACAACACTTTGATCATATATCATGAACTAGGCCGGGATGAACTTCTCAAAAGCATAAGTTTCACACTATTGGTTTAGGTTGTACACAAGTCGTAGTTAGTAAAGGTTAGTTGTAATTCAATATTCAAAATATATACATTGACCTAAAATAAACACATTATTAAATCGTAAAATTTATTCTAAATCGAAGYAAATTAGTCGATACCGTAGATAGAAGACCAAAACCAAATAACGTAAGAAATGGTTTAGACATTTGTGTGAGTAGCAAAGCCTAGACAAAACTAAGAGATTGGACTTTATACCTTAATAAATCCAAATGTTTTAATAGAAAACATTGAATTGGTCCTACGAAATATGTACTTGCATGCCAAATTACACAGAATGTCGTTGTTGTAACTTATGACTTTGCATATTATTTTATATTATTAAGGTAACTTTCGACACTTTAATGTCAAATCAATGGGGGAATTTTTTTTAGTATGGTTAAAAAAGAAACTAATTCTAGAAATAATATTAGCTCGCACAGTAAGTGGGTCCCACAATAAATTTTTTTTTTTTTTTAATTTTTCAGTCGCTGCCACGCAAACATCTTCTCCTTCACAGAGAACCCATTCTCCTCCCCTCTCAATCCCTTGCTTCGACCCCACCATCGTCTTCTTCTCCGCCCGCGTCAATCCTCCCCATTTCCAGCACCTCCACCGGTTCCGGCCATACTTTTTACGGCCTTATGTGGTATCGGATATGGCTGCCTGATTGCTTCCGCCTGCATCGTCGGGATCTCTACCGCGCACATCCTTCTCGGAGGTTGGTTGCCATTGATTCCACACCGATTTTTTCAAATAAAAACTAAATATACATGACTGCAGAAAAACAAATTAAACTTGTAGATTTTTCAATTTCCAGGTTTTCATCAAATTTGGGATATTTCTATTTCGAATTTCGTCTTCTCCAAGCTCCCAACTAACTTGAGCTGACGATTTAAGCTCGGAATAGTGCTGGTAATGCAGCGATTTAAGCTCGGAATAATCCTCCACAGAGCCTCCATCTCCGTTGAAGAATCTCACCCGAAACTTGTTGATATCAAAATCGCCGCCGGAATTCTAGGAAGAAGTCGGGGTCATGTGCCGCTCATCATCGGAATTAAAGGGATTTGATGGCGGAGGGGGAGGGAAATGGGTTCTTGTGAAGGAGAAGATGTTTGCGTGGCAGTGGCTGTAAAATTAAAAAAAATTATCGTGGGACCCACTTGCTCGGCCAGCTAATCAAGATAATAAAATTGTTTGCGTGGCAGTGGCTGTAAAATTAAAAAAAATTATCGTGGGACCCACTTGCTCGGCCAGCTAATCAAAATAATAAAATGAACATTATTTCTGGAATTAATTTAAATTTTGCAATATTTTTGGAATTAGTTTCTTTTTTAACAATATTAAAAAAAAACTCCAAATCAATGTTATTCAATTATTTTATAGTATTATAAACGTGGGGGGAAGATTAAGGTTACTCATGTATTAATAATTAAGCTATATTTAGTTAATTAGTTGAGAGTAGTTTTGCGACGAGTTTTCATATATTAATTATTTTGACGTATATTGAGGCTTTTCTTAAGAGAGAGGCAAAAGTTTACCCGCCAACTTTTTGTATATATAATTTTTTTAATTCAAAAAATTTAGAGAGAATTTGATGAAAATTACATAATCTTAAATACTTTTTGAGGTACGACAAATGGAGAGGGACAATATCTTTCTTTGCTCTAATAGTTGCTTTATATATATATTTATTAAATTATAAATTTAGTTTCCAAAAATTTGACTGACGTGAGATTCAATTATTGGTATCTGACGRTAATAGATATTTTATCTACCAAGTTATGATTTGATTGATATTTAGTTTAACTTTAAAAAGTTTTAATCGCGCGTTTAGATTTTATATTATGCTTTTATTCAATTGTTTGCCACTATCGTTAATATTAATAATATGGTCGATTGACATTTTGTTATCATGCTAGTTCAATTATAATATATATAACGAGTTAAAGGATTTAAACCTCCAATGTTTAGGTAGGTTGGTAATGTTATCCATTGAAATGTGCTCATGCTTTTTTTTGAATCTTCAACCTCGAAGAAAAATGTACATATCAATTATCGTTGAATCATATTTTTTGAACTATGTTCATGCTGACTTACTTATTTACCACTATTATTTTTTGATAATAGAAATGTGCTCGTGTTAAATAATATTAAGGGCAATGATTAAATAAAATTAGAATCCAAAATTATGGTTTTGTTTSTATTTGTAAAATTTTAACCTCAATATAAATATATTAGAAATATTTTAAGAAATTTAGTGGTAAAATGTTAGACCACATGAGATAAAAATATAAATGAATTATAATTGATGCAGAATAATCAAAATAAACAAAAATCGAARCCACAACCGCTGAAACGATAGTTAAGAAAGTAGAATACCAAAATAAATCAAAACCTACAATTCAAGTAAATAAAAAATTTATACATTTTGATTTTGTTATTGTTTCCGGTCTACGTGGGCGTGGATGAATGATTCAACGTTCCAAGAATGGAGGGAATTTCCCGAGAGATTGCCCCAACTTTCTCGGAATCCAAACAAGAATCTGCGAAAATGCTTGTGCAATTTCAAGAAATTAAGAAGACGGCCGGCTTGAGCTCTTCAATCACAGACCCAGTCGTCTCATTTCTGGCGGCTTGTGCAGGTTTGAATAGAATCAATGTACAAAAAAACCCTTCCAGATTCCACCTCCATGACTCATCATCAGGGAAGTCATCTGTTAATTAATTCTTTACTCAGTTTTACCTTTCAACTTTGAATATTATTCATTTTTAATGTTTCTTTCGTTTCCCCCGTTGACGTTTGCTTCGGATTGTTCTGATGTGTTCTAGCTTAAGTTCAACGTGGCATTGAATCTGTAATTGGGGATTCCAAAATGTGTTACTTGAGGCCAGTGCAATACGAAACTTTAATGGCAAAGAATGAAAAAGTTCAGTGACAAAAATAAACGTTTGACATTAGGATTTGAACCTATTTGGTTCCATATTTTTCWGAGTTCTTCATGTTGATTGATTGTTTGAGGGGGTTGGGAACGATATGGCTGTAGCTGATATCTGTTTGAATTTGTAA